TCAAGATGAAATATGTTTGTCTTTCCATAGCTCTATGCTTTAATCTCACCACAATATCAAAATCAGTGTGACACTTGATTGCACTCGTGTCTTGCATTCTTCTGGCATTTTCTGACTGATTAACTGGTCTGTTTACCAACTGAAGGACAAGTATGTCATGAAGTACTGTAATTTCAGTTCAGATGCAGTTAGTATTGCCTTGTCTTCTTTTGGTGTAAACACTGAACCTCAAGCTAACTATCAAAGAAAACAAGTTTCTAACTCAGTCAGTAATTTAATTCACATATCTGGCACTAGTAACAAATATCCTGCTGGTGAATTTTGTTTGCTACATCTTTAGCCATATGTTTCTTAAGAGGCATTTATACGGAGAAAGAAAATTAAAATATAAAAATTTAATAATTTTTTTTTTTAAAAAAAGCACACCACTACCACTTTTTTGGGGGGAGGAGGTGGGAAGTCTATAAGCAGTTGGAAGGTTTGGTTTTTATTTTAAAGTATATATTGTTGAGGAACAGTGTGCTTAAGGAAGTTCAAAAAGGATAATGGGAAAGTGTCATTTGGTCTAAAATTGTAATTGGTAAAGAATAAGACAGAAGAAGGCTTCTTGCAAATTACAAATTACTTGGTATCTGTTTGGTTCAGTTAGAATATCTGACTATGAAGAACTACTGTGACATTTCGTGTACTTTCAGTATTTGAAGAAACTTGTCAGTTGCTCTTTGAAAACTCCTTTATTAAAATCAGCTTCTTTACCTTAGTATTCTTTACAAACAGTGTTGATAACTTAATAAGGCAATAAAAATTGAAGGTAAATAGTCCTGAAGATTCAGAAATCTCTATGCCAAAAATTATGGCACATATTCGATTATGAGATTGTGGAAATGTTGGGCTGCACTGAGGAGAAAAAATTAACAATGCCTATAATCAAACTAATTCGCTCTTACATCTGCACTGATGTGGGTCCAACACCTTATTTTAAGTAAATGTAGAAAGTTATTTATATCAATAGCACTCTTGAAATGCTTAACGTTAGGCATGTGCTAAGTTTTTTTTGGTCAGTGGGTGAACGAGGTCTCCATCCTCTCTTGAAATTCAACACACTGGCTTTTTGTGGCCTTAGTGCACAAGGGCAAATTTCCATAAGTAGTCGTGCTGATTTGAATTGAACTACTTGCATGTCTAAGGCAAGTATAATTTAGCCACAAAGTTATTAATTGTTGTGGGGAATGGACTGAAAGAGGCAAGAGATTTTAATGGGGATGAAAAGGTGAAGATAAAGTTTATTTAAAAAAAAAAAAAAAAGTTGTTCTTTTTATAACTACTTTGAGCAAACTGTCCACTAAAAATAATGAACCACAATGACTAACAACACATTAAATATTTTTGCTTATATATTTCGGTTAGTTAATGAAGACACCTTTTTTAATAGGAAACTAGATTGAGCTCAAAAACTACTCTAAATGTAATTTTATCTGTTGGATGTTAGTTTGCTTTATCTGGAAAAAAAATCAACCTCTTCTGTGTTCAAAGATCACATCAGATAACAAGAAATAGATCTATTATTTATGCTATTAACACTGAAATAGTTTCCTTGAGGTGCAATATTTATTTTTCTGCTTTAACAAGACACGTTTATTGTTTTTCCTGCACAGCACAGATGTTTCTAGTAAAAGGAATTTTAAAAGGGCACTATTTTTGTGTATCATATTTAAATTTGTAATATTGTAAGATTTTGCACAAGTGTGCTGGTATTGTACTGTATAGTATCACATACTTGAGTTTTGAAATAAAAGTATGGTTTCAAAGTCCTCAATGTTGCTACCTTAAAGGTTTGTTTTTTACGTGCGCTCTGTCTGTGTATTAATGTCTTTATGTCTTATGAATAATTTCTTATGAAATACATACTGCCTTGTCTGTCATACTGCCATGTTACACATACCAAAGATCTTGTTCTTAGTCTTTCAGTTCTTCAGGAAAATGATGTAGAAGAAGCAAGCAAACTCCTGTTTCAATAGAGAAAGTGTTTGTAAGCAGGGTCATCCCTGTCATACCCTAGAAACAAGATGAGAGAGGAAACTGAAATATCCTGGAGAGAGTTTAACTCCTGCTTCAGAGGGAGGCTGCCTGTCACTGAGGAGGTTGAACACGGAAAGCCACAAGAGAGATCTGTAACCAGAGGAGACTGAGTGGAAGGTTAGGATTCTTTATTTGCTTTGTGTTCTTGTAGGCTTGGGAGATCTGGGAACCCTGGGCTTTGTGGAGAGCTGAACTGCCAGACCAGCGGGAAGGACACAATGCTCAGTTTCCACAAAGAACAGAAATGTCACTTCGGAATCTCTGATGGTCTGTGTCAGGGAGAAAAACTCTGGGACAGCGACAACCTTGAAAGGAATGACTGTTACCAGGAAAAGACCCAGATATTTGTATTTTCCACATAAACTTTTTTTTTTAAAAAAAACTTGTTCCCTCTCCTGTTGGTCAGGCTTCAAGGTTCCTTTAGAAATGATTGTAGAGAACAGTTAAGTCTGTTCTCCCATATCAAAGGTTTTCTGTTTAGCAATCCTCAGCATTTTAAAACATGCTGGCATGAGGTGCTGGGAATTTTCCTTATACGTTACTATAAGTATTGAGGTCAAGTGCTAATTAAACATTCAGTGTAAGGCTGCTTTTTTTTTTCACCACACAAGTTAAGATGAAGACCCACAAACAGGGTCTTTTGAAAAAAAAAAATATATTATTGCAGTCTCGCTTCATCATTCTAAATTTCTTTTCTCCCTCTCCTAATCTGTAGTTTGGTCTTATAAAACCATGCGAAGGAGCTTATTTTTTGTTTGGTGTTACAAAGGTGTTTATCTCATTTTTCCAGCTAAAAATCCTACTAAACATCAATAGCATGGACAGAGTTTGACTAAAGGAACTTTGCCACAGTGAGAATAATAAGCACAAAGTGTTAAACCTTGGAAGGACAATTAGCAAGCAATTTTAAAATGTCAGAAACTCAGCTTTTGATTAGTTTTTATGGTAGGAAGTACTTAGCAGTTCAAGGTAAGCGTGGAGATGGTAAGATTTTGTTTAATGTTCTCAGTGTTTTATAGCCACAGTCTACGAGTCCATGAGAACTACAGAATAGCTATTAGTTTCTGCTCCTACGTTGTAAATGCAAGTGAATCCACTTAGAACTTGCTTCAGTGAGAGTAAGTCTGATTGCAGTATTTCAGATTGCCATCGCTTTGTAGGGGCAGGTAAGTACAACACAATAAAGGAGTGAATAGAAATTGGAGCAAGAAATTTGTCTTAAGACCGCAAGCAGCTTTACCAACACTCAGTTCCAAACCACAGCCCAAACTCCACCCAATTTTCATTTCCTTATTGCTAATGGAGGCATCATTTCATTAACCCACAGCATTCTCCACCCAGCCCTGTAGATGCCTGTTTGTGTTATAGTATACCCGTAACCATGTTATATGCTGCTGCAAGAGATTGGGCCTGCACCCAGATAAAAGTTAATACTATGTTAATATATTAAGTGGGAATTTTCTACAATGCAAACCGCAGTTTAAAGAGGTAGCTACTGTTACACTTGTGTTTACAGGACCTTGA